GGGGAGGCGGGGGAAGAGAGGCAGGGGGAGGAGCCATGGGGCTGTGGGGTGCTGGAGGGGGGAACACACAGGAATCGGGGCTGGTGAGAGAGACACTGGCAGCTCTCCCAGGCTGTGGGGTCAGGAGGGGGAGGGGCTGCTCCCCTCAGCAGTGGGGAAGGGGGGATCTGTTTCCCTAAAACTGCTCGCACAAGCATCGTGGGGAGGGATGCTCAGGGAAGTTCCCTCTAAGGCAGGGGTGGGGAACACTGACTTGCCTGCAGCCGACCCCCCCCCAGGCTAAGGGGTCCTCCCCACACATTGGGGAGCCCACGCTGGCACACTAGCCCCCTGCCATCCACCCTGAGGGCTGGAGCACACAAAATCTACTAGCCTGGGCTCCCCAAGGCTCTGGTGTGCTAGGGGATTGTGAGGAGTGCCTTTTTCCCAGGCGGGAGCGTCTCGCTTGTGTGTGGCCCCCCACTGATTTATCTGTGGGTCATCGCCCCCCACCCAAAAAAGGTTCCCCACTTCTGTTCTAAGGGCTCAGCATTTACATGTCAACTATCCCTGGGCGGCCCCTCCTCCACCCTTACCCACCCTTCTCCACTACATGGCTCCCAAAGTTCAGGTCTGCATTTTAAGCAATCTGTGCATTTGTGGGACCTGAGTCGACAGGCCTGGGTGGTTGCTTCTGATTTCTGCCCAGGATTCCATGTCAGACCATAGTCACTGCAAAGCACAGCCATGAAACTGGGACTCCCCAGTTAGTTCAGATTCACTGAGTGAGTAAAGAGGGAAAATGATGGTTCAAGTCTTGTTCAGACTCAGTTAAAAATCCTGATTCTCTGGGTCTGGTTCAGCTCTGGTGAGTCCAGCTGGTGAATGGAATCTGCATCTGCTGAGCTGTCCCTGGGGGCTGTGGGGCAGTCCAGGGGCTCAGGAATGTGGGGAGGTCATGGCACAGACAGAGGAGGCTGGTGTCTGTCTCTGCTTAGGACACAGAGCCCTACAGCTGGTTGAGTTTCAGATTGATGCTGCTACCTCCGACATCATGATCTGGGGACCCAGGCTGAGCAGTGGGTCTATAGCAGGGAGGGATGTTCACTGCAGCCCCTCTGTGCCCACCCTGGGTGGGGATGTTCCCCGGTGCCTGTGACTTGCCCCTTGGGGCAGCCCCAGGCTGTGCTGGCATAGCTCCAGGTGACGGGGAGAGAACTGGGGGACAAAGCTTGGGAGGGGCAGGAACATGATTCAACCTGAAACCAGTCTCTTTCAACCTGAGTTTGTGCTGGTGGGGAGGGGGGGCCCTGTGTGCCTGTGGGTCCCAGAGCTGCTGCCTTCAGTGACACAGCCAGACTCCCGCTGGAGAGCAAATGCCCATGGGCACAGGGCAGGCACCAGTGCTCCCAGCAGAGGGGAGAGGGCAGGAGGCAGGAAGGGGGATGGTGAGACCAGCAGGGGCAGCAGGAGCAGGACATAGAGAGATTCCCAGCCTCCAAACCTGCCCAGACCCATTCACTGCCTCACTCGGGCAGATTGACTGTCCTGGCAGCAAGGGGCAAGGAGAGAAAAGCCAGTTCCTGCCCCTCCCAGCCCCCATGTGATGAGGGAGGGGGATGCTGCCCTCAGGGACAGTGTTGGGGAATCCCCCAGAGTGGCAGATTTGGAACGTCTGTGTCAGAGACTCTGTCCTGGGGAGGGTGTAAAAGTGCCTCGTGGGCTCAGCCCTGGGGGAGGGGCCAGGCCTGTGTTGTAACCACACAACTGAGTGTTTCCCATTGTGGTGGAACCTAGAGCATCTGTCTGCAGGGAGAGAGCCTGGGGGAGGTGGGATGTGAAATGGACCAACCCCCCTTTGGAAACCGTCACCCCTCTCACCCTGACAGGCTGAAGAATCACGTCCCCACTTTGCTCCAGATTGTCCCATCCTTCAGGTGACAGGGCAAGGAAATGGCTGTGGTGGAGTCTGCTCGGGTAAGGGATTTTGTGGGGAGCTGCAGGGGGGTTATTGTAGAGGGTGAGGGCAGGAAATACACAGAGGCTACGTCTACACTGGCATGATTTTCCGGAAATGCTTTTAATGGAAAAGTTTTCCGTTAAAAGCATTTTTGGAAAAGCACGTCTAGATTGGCAGGATGCTTTTCTGCAAAAGCGTCCGTGGCCAATCTAGACCCGGTTTTCCGCAAAAAAGCCCCGATCGCCATTTTCGCAGCATAGTATTTCCAGAAAAGCACTGATGATTTTACATGAGATCGCCAGTGCTTTTCCAGTAATTCAAGTGGCCAGTGTAGACAGCTGGCAAATTTTTCCGCAAAATCATATGATTTTGTGGAAAAACTTGCCAGTCTAGACACAGCCAGAGTGAGGCAGGGAAGGGGCAGGGTAGGATAAACCTGCTTGGAGTTGCTCAGTCTAGGGCCTGATTATCTGAACAGGCCCATTGGGAGGGAGAGGGGTGAATGTTCTCCCTTTTCTGAAAGAGGAAACACCCCGTGGACAGAGCTGAGAAAACTGAGCAGAGTCTCCATTGGTCCATCAATGGCTATTAGCCAGGATGGGCCGGTAGGGTGTCCTGAGCCTCTGTTTGCCAGAAACTAGGAATAGGCGACAGGGGATGGATCACTTGGTGATTCCCTGTTTTGTTCTTTCTCTCTGGGACACCTGCATTGGCCACTGTGTGCAGACAGGACACTGGGCTAGATGGGCCTTTGGTCTGACCCAGCCTGGCTCATCCTATTGTTGATGAGTGAAGTTGTGGCTGGGGTGGCAGGCGTTGAGTGGGGGTCCCTGTTGTTTCAGATGCCGGTGACCTTCGAGGAGGTGGCTGTGTATTTCACCACGGGGCAGGGGGCGCTGCTGGACCCCGCTCAGAGAGCCCTCTACAGGGACGTCATGCAGGAGAACTACGAGACTGTGGCCTCGCTGGGTAAGGATTCCTGTCCCCACAGCTAGCAAAGCCCCGGGGCTGGCATTTCTGCATGTGATCAGTTCGATTAGAGGGGAGTGGGGCCCACAGCCCCTTTGTGGGAGACACTTTCATCACCGTGATCCCTTCTGGGGAACAGGGGAGTCAGACACCTAAGGGGCATGCTAATTCATCCCCATCCCTCCAGCTTTCAGGGGGCCAGAACCAGGGCACTGTCCTGCATACATTATTTCTCCTACACACACTGTTCACCTGCCTTCTTGGGACTGACTCCATCCGTGGGGAGAGCTCTAGATTCCTCAGGCTTGGAATTAGGCAGGTGTTTACCCCCAGAGCTGTGTGTGTGTCAGCAATCCCCAGAGCCTGCAGATCATTAAAACTCCTAGTGCAGACGTAACACCCTCTGTCACTGAGGGGTGGGGAGTCACCAGGCCCTGCACCCCCCATCCACAGCCAGACGTGACACTCAGCTGGCAGGTAGAACAGACTTGTTAGCACAGGAACCAGGAGCACTCAATACAATCCATCTTGGGGAGAAGGGGGCCCAGAGCCAAGGGCCCTGCCCTCTGAGCCAGCAAGACTCACTTCCACCCCCCACAGCTCATCTCTAGCTGCAGCGAGCCCCGTGTCCAACCTATGTCCAACTTCCCAGGCAGAAGGTGTCGTCTGGTCACACACCCGTCTCAGGCTCAGATTGCCATGAACCTGGGCCATTGTGAATGTGCTGGCCTGGGCATCCTCCCTTAGTGAGTCACCCCCAAATTCCTGTCACCATCTAGATAGTGCTGCAGTGCCCAGGGAAAATGAGGTTACTACAGGACAGTAGAAATCATCATAACAAAGCAAGCAGAGTGAATAAAATCCCAACTTAAACACATTTCCTACACCATTCTGCCCCAGAAATCTGTTGCTCTCAAAATGTCTGAGTTACCACAATCCTATACAGGATTAGATTGAGCTCAGGGCGTGTTTCTTGTGACACATACTCTGCCCAAAGTCCATGTGCCTTCACTTTGCCTGATTTCATCCCTTGCAGGATTCCCTATTCCCAAACCTGACCTGATTGTCTGGCTGGAACGAGGGGAAGAGCCGTGGGTCCCAGATCTCCAGCCCTCCAAAGAAATGGAAACCCTGAGAGGCACCCACATAGGTGAGGAGTCAAGGAAACGAAAACAGAATATTTGCGGTGAGTGCAGGAAAAAGCGGAGACTCCCTAAAATGAGCAGTGAGAGCTCTAAATTTCACCCCGTGTCTCCAAGGTAGGGCTGCAGGTGTCATCCTGGCAAATACCTGTCACAACTCCCCAGCCATCCTGTTGCTGTCAGGAGTTTCTTCCCTATGTTTCTATCCCTGGGAGTGTTTGGGGGGGATGTGGAGGCACAATCTAATGTCTCAGTTTCCCGAACAATTATTGTGTTGTGCTTTCTGTCTTTGCCATTACCCTGTTGGTCGTTTCTCTCCAGCACAGACAGTGACTCCTGCCTGGATTCTCTCTTTCCCAGCAGGTGCTAGGACAGTGAGGGAGAGCAAGGAGGAGAATCGACAGGAGGAAGGGCCTGGATCCATAGTATCACAGGGAACATTTGTGGAAGGAGCTGAAGGGGATTTTTCCCAGTGTGTGGAACAGGGGAAATTCTGGGGGAATGGACACAGGGCAGAGAGGCAGCTGGAGAGCAATGCAAGCAGTAAAGTGGAAGAATCCATTGAATGTGGCGGAGGATCCAAGGATCCCAAGGAAACTCCAGCCCAGCAGACAAATTGCAATGGAAAAAAACCCTGTGAATGCTCAGACTGTGGGAAAAGATGGAGTGAGAAGTCAGGCCTTATTCTGCCCCAGAGAGGACACACAGGAGAGAGACTCTGCAAATGCCTTGAGTGTGGGAAAGGTTTCACTCAGCGATCAGCTCTTACTAGACACGAGAGAACCCACGTGGGAGAGAGACCATATAAATGCCTTGATTGTGGAAAAGGTTTCATTATACAATCAGCTCTTACTCTCCATACGTTTACCCACATAGGAGAGAAACCATATAAATGCCATGAATGTGGGAAGAGTTTCGCTCAGCGATCAGACCTGACTGTCCATGGGAGGACCCACACAGGAGAGAGACCATACCAATGCCATGAGTGTGGGAAATGTTTCACTCAGCAATCAGCCCTCATCAGACATATGAGAACCCACACAGGAGAGAAACCATACAAGTGCTTTGACTGCGGGGAAAGTGTCATTGGTTGCTCACACCATATTATCCATCAGAGAATGCACACAAACAAGAGCCCATATAAATGCCATGAGTGTGGGAAAGATTTCATTATGCTATCAGCTCTTACTGTCCATAAGAGAACCCACACAGGAGAGAGACCCTATAAATGCCATGAGTGTGGGAAAGGTTTCATTAATCAGTCAGCCCTTACTGTCCATAAGAGGACCCACACGGGAGAGAGACCATATACATGCCATGAGTGTGGGAAAGGTTTCACTCAGCGATCAGCCCTCATTAGACATGAGAGAACCCACACAGGAGAGAGACCATATCAGTGCCATGAGTGTGGAAAAGTTTTCAGGGAGCAATCAGCCCTCATTGGACATGAGCGAACCCACACAGGAGAGAAACCGTATAAGTGCTTTGACTGTGGGGAAAGCTTCAGTCAGAGTTCACACCTTATTATCCATCAAAGATTGCACACAGGAAAGAGACCATACACATGTCTTGACTGTGGAAAAAGCTTCAGGCAAACCTCAAATCTTATGAGACATCAGAGAGTACATGCAAGGAAGAGAGACCCTGTAAATGCCATGAGTGTGGGAAAGGTTTCACTCAGCGTTCAGCCCTCACTACCCATGAGAGAACCCACAAATGAGAGAGACCATATAACTGCCTTGACTGTAGGAAAAGCGTTGGGTACAACTCACACCTCACTAGACATCAGAGATTCCACACAGGTCATGCATCAGCCCATCCCCCAGGAGGAAACCTCTCAGATTTCATTTGTTAGTGCAGTGGTTCTTAACATGGGGGTAATTATCCCTCAAGGCACAGTTTGGAATATTTCAGATGATAATACCTTTAAAATACAATAGTAGTTCAATTTTTTTCAACATCATGCATGAGATAACAAAATACAATGAAAATGATTAATCGGAATTTTCTTTTTGTCTATTGCCATTTTAAAAAGGAGGAGGGGTAATTTTGGCTTATTGGTTAAGCTTAAGGGGTAACAGTGCCAAAGAGGTGAAGAACCACTGCGTTAATGTGTAAAGCACCAGTCCGTGGAACAGTGCTGGGCCATGAACCGCTGGCTGCAGGGCTGCAGCAGCTGCGAAACCTAAAGCTGTCTGTCTCTGGCAGTTCTGTGGGCTGGGGCTTTACCTTGGCCACATGAGCTGCCGCACAGCAGCCGGCTTCAAATCCTGCAGCCATGGCGGCTGATTTTGCCCAGTGGCAGCTCTGGGGCTGAGGTGATGGCAAGAGGAGGAGGCATCTCCCGCTCACCTCCCTCCCACCCAGGTAAGATGGTAGCCCGGCTGAGGTCCCACACTCCCCCACCACCACCCTGCCTCTACCCATGGGAGACACTTGGGGAGGAAGGAGGTGCAAAGGAGGAAGAAGTGGGCACAGTGCCAACAGCCACTCCCCCTGCCCACATATCAGTAACCGCCACTCTTCCTATAGGGGACAACCTTACTCTGGGGAGTGTAGGGGTGGGGGAGAGTGTAGTGGGGTTGGGGTAAGAGAGTGTTGGCGTGGGCTGTAGGGGTCATAGGTGAAACGGTCAAAGGGCATAGGGTGGGCATCAAAAGGTGTTAGATGCTGGGGAGCAAGGGTCAGTGGTTATGAAAGCAAGTGCAGTGCAGCTCATGCTTCTGTCAGGGGGCAGCAGATCTCAGGGTGTCTGAGCAGGGCAGGGGGCCTCAGAGCTTGTGGAACAGGCAGGTGCAGGGTCAGTGGGGCAGGATCAGGATTTGGCACAACAGGCAGTCATGGAGTTTGTGGAGCAAGGGGCAGTGGGGAAGGATCAGGGGGTACTGGGCGTGGTGGGACAGGATCTGGGGAAATGGGAAGTTGTCAGTTTAATTCATATGTTGCTGCGACTTGGTCTACAAACTATAACTTTTTCTGATTGCTTTTCCGGAAGAGGGTTTTCCGACATTTGGCCCCATGTATACGGGGCCAAATGGTGGAAAAGCCTCTTTCAGAGGAGCCTTTATTCCTCATAGAATGAGGTATACAGGGCTCCCCAAAAGAGCGTGTCTGCTCTTATGCGAAAAAAAGCGAAAGAGCAGATGTGTTCCCTGGGCGCAGCAGTTTTTCTGGAAAAACCCTGTCAGTCTAGGGCTGTGTCTAGACTGCATCCCTTTTTCATAAAAGGGATGCAAATTAGACATATCGCAACTGCAAATGAAAAAGGGCTTTTTTTCCCAAAAGACCCGCGTCTAGACTGGCGCTTTCTTCCGGCAAAGCTCCGAGCCGGAAAAAAGTGGCAGCCATTTTTAAGCTAATGAAGCGGGGGAGATTTAAATCCCCGCTTCATTTGCAATTGCTATATATCTAATTTGCATCCCTTTTATGAAAAAGGGATGCAGTCTAGACACAGCCTAGATGTACCTTGGGATACAGCGTGCCAAGGGGATTAGTGACTGCGGATGCTGAACAGGCTCCAGGCAAGACAGAGGTGGTTGACAAAAGGAAGTTGGTATCAGGGGGTATTGGGGAGAGGGAGACCATGGGTACTGGGGTGACAGGCTTTGCAAGACAGACTTGTGAGGAAGTGGGGTTAGCGGGACATAGGGGGTATCACATGATGGGTTTGGCAGGTTTAATACAGAGACACACAGTATCGGGGTAGCGGGAAGGGGTCAGGGTGTTCTGGGAATGGAGGTAGAAGGCTGTGCAGTGGCAAGATGGAGTCAGCGGGTGAGTGGTTTGTTGGATAGGTAACATTTTATTTACATACTTGCATATTATTATAACAAACATGCAAATATGCAAATGAACTGTTATCAGTCTGCCAAAAGTTTGTGAATGGGTTTGCCAGTTCACAGTATAAAAAGTTTGGGAACCCCTGTGTCAGGGATTCTCTCCGCTTTTTAGCTTCCCATGTGTGAGTGCTGCTCTCTGGCGGGTGCTGAGCAGGGTGGGGGTGGGGACAAGAATCTGTCTTTGTTCCTCCTTTGCAAATAAAGCAGATGGTTAGTTTCTCCCGCTCCTGGTGTCCTTTGTTTTGCATTAACTGGCTCCCACCATCACATGGCTGTTGCTGGGGTTCCCTGGCTGGGAGCTGCTCTCCTGGAGGCTGGGGCTTGGGCTGTTCCATGCAGGAAACCCCCTCTGAGGGGGAGCAGGGGTGTTGCTGTGGTGCCCTGAGAATATTCAGCCCACTCGTCTGCTCGCCCAGGGGGCAGCAGCCCAGGGCTCATTTCCCCTTCCTCTCTCAGGTGGGGACACGGCTCTGAGCGAGGGTCTCCCGTCTCCCAGGGGAGCTCTGGGTGAGCTGGGACTGGGCTTGGCAGAAATCTCTCCCAGAGCGTGCAGGCTGGAGAGATGTTTGTTGGGAAGCATTTTGTGAATGTCGATGGATTTAAATCATTTGCTCTAGTGGTGGGTTTGAAACATTCGTACACAGTTGTAAGGAATTGGGGGGGGGGGCCTGTCAGACAAGGGGGAGCAACGAATAATGATTTACTGGCAGTCGATACTATCACTCTCAAAGCTTTACGGGCATAGATCCATGTAACTACAGAAAGCAAAGGGGCCGCAGGGCTGTGCTGGCCACCACTTCCCACAGCTTCCATTGGCTGGGAACAGGGAACCGCAGCGACCGGGAGCTGCAGGGGTGGGGCCTGTGGGTGGACAACACTAGCACAAGGCCTGGGGGCTGCACTCAGATTGCCCTGATGGGCCACATGCACTCGCGGGCTGCAGGCTCCTCACCACTGTTCTCAGGGGGAGCTTTTATGCCGCCTGGATTCTGCTTGAAGAAAGAGGCACCAGTCATGTGAGAACAGGGAACCGCAGCGACCGGGAGCTGCAGGGGTGGGGCCTGTGGGTGGACAACACTAGCACAAGGCCTGGGGGCTGCACTCAGATTGCCCTGATGGGCCACATGCACTCGCGGGCTGCAGGCTCCTCACCACTGTTCTCAGGGGGAGCTTTTATGCCGCCTGGATTCTGCTTGAAGAAAGAGGCACCAGTCATGTGACAGCCTCCTAGTGATAGGAGCAGCCCCCCGCCCCCAGCTCCCCTCCTCTGGCTGCCTTGCCACGG